TTTGAAGTGCTCATCGATCATTGCCAGGTGACTATAATCCACACTGAGGTTAATTATGGCACAGTGTTTACCATATGTGGGGGAGATGAACTCATGCCTGTAAACAGTCTGCTCTCTCAGCGAGTCGCATTTGGGACATTACTGCCTTAAACACATTTTTATGGTTCAAAATAAAAGCACGATTAAAAAGGGTTTCTTAAACAAGGATTTAGTTCCTGCCTGAGAAGCTTAAAATGTGGACAACACCCCATAAAGGCCAACACTTCTGAGTGAGGCATAATGAAGAGGAAGACAAAGTGTTCAAGCCATCCTACCGCTCATGCCCAGAACATCGTCTGCCAACATATGGGTTGCCAACTGGAATGATGCAAAATGTCAGACACACATCTGTGGAAAGGGACTCCTCCCACAGGCAGCATGGTGGTGGGGCAGGAGGGATTAATATAATTAAAACTTTAAGACGCAGTCTAACTCAGGAAAATGTGGTTGAGCAACACATTGCTAAAACTTGAAATCCTTACTTTATTTCTTTTCAAAAGCCCTGTGAGCATAATGAGAATACGCCTTTAAGAACTAAGATTCACCCCACCAGGCATTAATGGCGTCTAGAAACTATGTGAACAATCTTACTCGACATCCCCAAGACGTTTATATCTGTCCAACGCAAAACCAGAGGGGAAACATGTTAATTTTCTCAGCCTTTTGATAGCACGTATACAAGATCTCTTAGCCCCACAAAAAGCTCCAAATATATTCTCTAGGACTTCAACTGCCTTAAAATATAGACTTACATTTATCTTGGCCACATTAACGAGATCTGTTTGACCAATACATTTATATTTATGATGACTAAGGGCAGATTATGGTTGTTAAAATTTGTCCTTGGGACATGAAAACACTCCTCTGTCATTAATACATTTTGTAATATAAACTATGATGTCAGGTCAACGTAAAGGGTAAAAACGTTCCTAAAGTATGCACACATCATTTTTTAAAGCAATTGAGCCTAATGGAATAACAAAGGTCATCATAACAAACCATTACAGCCTTGGTCTTGGCAACTCTGGCCACAGAAGAATCTCCAAGAAACGATCATCATTCCTCCAATGTTATGGCATCCAGACGACAGGAATGGCTCGCAAATGAGTCATACGGGCTCAGATCCTCGGTAGCTATGTGAGCACTGGACAATCAATTATTCATGTGTTTACAAAGAGCTTTCGTGGTTGATGTTAACCAGAGCTGCTTGCGAAGAAGAGCTCTCCAGCTGTCCTCGGCCGTCCTGGGCCTCCGACTAACAAGCTGCTCTAATTGCTGGGCAAGTCATCTGGAAGGTGCCCCTCCCCTAGACCAAGGAAACTCAGTTTTTTATTGTGTAAAAATATTAATCAGAAATAATTATGACAATAATACTTTATTTACAGTACTCCTAGAAAATCCCAAAGAGATAGAGAGAGAGAAGTTAGACTTGACTTAGATCCACAAGGCTCCACCAGGACTGGAGTCTGGACCCTTGAAGACACAGATGAGGGACTGGTAAAGGGTATAGAGAAGAGAAAAAAGAGACAGAATCAGGGGCTGTAGGCTTCATGAAGGAGGAAGGAGGAAGGAGTCTAGAATGCTCTGTGAAGATACAGGAGCATGACTGAGGACCACCAAGGGTGAATAGATTAAATTGGTCAATAGCCCAACATGAGTGAACTTGACCCACCCATTAAAATCAGCCTTGGAAGAAGTTGGATGGGAAGTCACTTCTCAGCCCCTTTTGTTACTTAATACAACTTACAGCCTGTCCAGGAGGACTAATATGTCATGAAGGCCAACTCCTATCTCTGAGCTAGGCTGAAGAGCATGGGACCAGGTGGCCCCACAGGTCATCTATCAGCTGTGTTTCGAGGGAGAGCAGGATTGTAGTCAAAGCTGTGGCCTGGGCCTCTTCCTCTGAAGACTGTGCAATCAGAGCAGACAAAGGGATATCTCAGGTACATTTTTATTATCCTAATTCCAGGAACATTGGTCGTACTGAGCCAGAATCTTCTCCTTGCTTGAAACTGGGTAACTTCAGGTGTTATCATAACTCACTTGTCCATTTCTAAGAAAGTGGTAGAAGCCAACAATGTCTGTTCTTGTGAATATGAGATCATAGTATAAGGTGAATATATATGTATGGTCAGGGGCAGTAGGACCTGTGGAGTAATTCTGCTTAATGTGGTGGAAAACAACTCCCATTGAGAGGAGCTGCGATAGAAAGATAAAGTTAGCAGACGGAAAGATGGTGCCCCTCCCCAGAGCATGAAGCATCCTGGAGCACTATTACTATGTGGCACTGTTCTAAGGCCAGGACTAGAGAGTCTGTGCTCCCCTGCCCACTCTAATCCACCCTCTCCATCCATGAATGCAGGTTTGGAAATGAGTCCAAAGAAAGGGACTGCTTCTCCCTAAGAACGATAATAGGAGAGCTGATCTAAGACACCCTCTCCACACCTCCTCTAACTTCCTAAGCCCCAGTCCCATCCTTCTGCCCCAGTCAGAGGGATGAGAGAGAAGACAAGAGGAAGCATCCCAAGAGAGGCCTCCTCCATGTGGCAAGGGGCCCTTTTAGCTTCTTTAACCTTCCTATGAATGCATCTCTCCTGCTAATTACACTTCATTGCCACTGGCTGGCGCTCCCTCTAGAGATCAGAGCAGTGTTGCTCAAAAGGTGGTTAGAAATAGAACTTTGGGGAGGGTGCTGTTCAACACTAATAGAATTCTTCACCGCAGGTCTCCAGAGCCTTCCACAGTCTGCTGGGCCTCTGAAGAGGAGTGAGGCATGTAGGACTTGCCAAAGTTGTTGGTCCATGGAACTCTTTTTTAGGAGCATCCCTCCAGGAACACTTGCAGAATTCTATGGACCAATAAAACTTAGGGCGGTGCAGTGCTAGGGTGTGGCACCAACATCCTGCTTAGATCTAATATTGAGACCTGGTCTGAGAGCTGCTCTAGCACCTTTGAGAGACTCTTATATATCTGCTCTCTGCCATCACGGATTGCTTTAATTCGTCACCCTCTCAGAATTCTGGGGGCACCTGCCTGGCACTCCATCACTATGGGTAACAGCCTCATAGATGGGTTCCCAAGCTCACACTTGGCCAGTCAAGCTTGTCTGGCCTCCACCCACACTCTTACCAAATCGGCAGGCCTCCCACAAGCGCATTTCCTCACCCTGCCCCCATATCACCAAAGAAAGAAGGAGAAAAGGAGTATATTTCATTGCCAGACACCTGCCTTATTTCCATCAGGCCCACCCTGATTTCTTTCTGCTCTGTGTGTATAAGTTGCTGCTTTTATCCCCTGGTTGTAAAGTTCTACCTTTTCTGTGGAAGAGTCAAGAAAGTGAGCCTTTAAGCAGCCAGCCAGGAATCTTTCCCACACTGCCCCTTTCAAGATCTCCAGCTCTGGATTTGTAACTCTCTGCTGTGACTGCAGCATAAAGTTGTCGCCCAGAATGAAACACTCATCAAGGTGGGTGTTTTGGCTTCAACTTGAATGTCCATCACCTGCCATAAAGAGATCTTTCTGAGGGTCTGTCATGGTCTATATTCCTGATCCTATATTTCAAGCGGAATTGTGTGCAAATGTTCAGTATCCAAAATAAACAAGACATCAATCCTTTGGCATTAACCAACTCATTAAATATAAAGTAAACACAAGGAAAGGCTTTTAAATCTCACTGACAGAAAGCTTGGAAACTACTCTGAGATTCTAGAGGTCACTGGAACTTCTCTCTTCAAACAGGAATCTTCCTCACACTATGAGGAGCAGAAGGAGACTCCCCACAAATGAGGAGGGTGTTAGGGTACCCCTTCCATGTGAGGATTGCCCTGCAATGCAGAGAATGACAGGGTCTGTATGAAGTGTGGCCTTTGACAGATATCAGGTCACTGGGGAAGTGGATGTTTTTGCAAGGGTTAGAAATTCAGGTCTAAGGCCTTCAGCATGCCACTGATTACAAATATCTAGGGATAGCTACCAAACCAACCTTGAGTTTCTCATCAGTGCCTAATTATCGGCTGCTCTCAGAACCTACATTCACACGGTTTCCTAAATCCTGTGTGCATTCTGCCATGGGTTCCTGAGGTCCCATTAGTAACATTACTTGCTGAACTCTTATCTTTGCCTCCATCTATCTGTAATTTCAGCAGAAAGTAGATTTATTGGAGAAGGCGATGGGCCAGGTTATCCGATTAGTTGTTTTAACTCTCCATGCCAAGTGTACAGAAAACGAATTGCAATAATCCACCAACCAGAAAACATATACGCATGCACTTGTTCATTTGTAATTTTATTTCAGAGCTAGGCTAGATTCCAGTGATTACTAACCTCTTTTGTAAAATCGAAGTGAAAAATGCCAAGAATTTGGTAAAAAGCATGTTTACTTAACAGTCCTTCAAAGATGGGTGTTCACCTAGGGATGCTCGTGTGTGAGCAGGTCCATCCGTAAGAGACTCAGCTCTGGTCCGGCAGCAGAATTACTGGCTTTGCCCATTCACATCAGTCAGCTTCAAAGTCTGACTTTGTGCCAAGAAATTAGTAATATCTGAAAGTATTCAAAGTAGCTTCCATTTATTTATGGTTTTGAAACATTTTTTCACAATTTAGTCAGCTTCCTAAGACAAAAGACAAAATGGCACTGAAAGATATACTTCGCCCAATCTTAGATCATTAAATCAGTAGAAAAATTAGATGTTGGTTTTCAAATGAACTGACATATGTTTTCCTTTTCTTCTTTGAAAGGTTTTCGGTGGTTTATTTTAAAGCACACAATCACGTAGTTCTTCTCATCCATGGGCTTTAGAACTTTTCACCCTGAATTTGAGGAGGAGCACTCAGCCACGAGATCATGGGACCAGTAGGATCTAGGAGGACTTCATGACCGTGCGGCTACCCTTTTAGGAAATCAAAGGCCTATGGGCAGAGAAGCAGAGAGCTCCTGAAAGTTACCCCACGTGCTTTTTCAAAAAAAAAATTTCTAGGATAGAAAACTAAACCCCAACCATAGGTTTCAATCTTTTCAACAGCATGGGCTGAGCTGACATTTAACACCACTAGATGGCATCATCTCCTTTCAAGATCATTTCTTTTTGCTCTGCTATTGAGAAGGGCACCATCATTTCCCTGCGCACCATTGAACAGCATCTCAGACCATATCAAACTTCCCCTCTCTAGTGCTACTGTCCACTCTCATACATTGGGGAAAGTTTTGGATCACAAATGGGATATATTTGATATTTTGTTTCACCGCAAGGAAGTTTTTGTCTGTCTTGCTTTTCACATGTTCCGTCTCACAGTCTGACAGCAACGTTGCTCTCAGGAGTTGATTTTCTACCTTGACGTTTCTGCTGCCCTACAGCCCAGAGGCACTGCGTGCGATAAAGGATCCATCAAATCCTCATGGATGCTGTCTGAGAGGCAATAGTGCCAGATCTGAGCTGATCGATGGAAAATTAACATCTGAAGTGTTTCCTGAGGGTCAGGCTCCTTGTGCCCTTTCAAAAGCTAGTCTAGGGCTTGAGGTGAAAAGGGAAGTAACATTCCAGCCTTGTTTGGGGAGCTACTTAATTTCCATTGCATGCCCCATGCACAAGGTAATAAAACATTCCAGAACATTCTTCTCCCTTGCCCACTCTTCCTTTTTCTCTTCTCTTCTCTTTCCCTAAGAAGTGGTAATGAGATGATGTAGGTTAGCCCTCTGGGTAGGTGAATGGAGAAAGAGAAAGAATTATTTATATCCACAATCATAGTTAAACAAGAGATCTTCAGAATCCTGTCTTGTCATTTAAGTGACTTACTGAAGTCCTATTAAGTTATCAAGACTATATTTCTTTGTTTTGTGCACTGCGACACATTGAGATGCAAGGAAGTCCAAAGGACGAAAAACTTGGAGATCACAGATCTAAAGAAAATGCTGAAGTGTGAGTTCCAAAACACTGCACTTCAAGTGTTGGCCTTTTTGAGGATATTTTTTTTTAGGCATCTGATACTCCAGGACATAGGATTCCTATTACTGGCCCAGCAGGTACACAGGGTCTCCCACTTGGACTGTCCCTGGGTTTTCCAGAACAAAATATTGTCCAAAGAGAGGTGATTTTCCATATAACTTTTGTTCAGTAGGGTCACAGAGGCGATAACTGCAGAAGGAGAAAGATCGTGATGAGTCACTGCCAAACAGAAGCAAGACCTCAAACAGCATGTGGTTTCTTCTCAGCTGAGGTAAGCATCCACCCCACACAGGGCCGCCATGTTACCCAGCTCCAGAGAGCACCATTGCCATGAGAGTCTAACAGAACAGCACTTTCTGGAATTGTGTAGTGAACAGCCTGTCCAGTGCACAAACTACAGAAACATAACCAGTGGCCGTATCCCCACATCTTTTCTCCATGTAATGTTCCCTTTTTCAGCATTAAGAGATGAGTACTCAATATGCTGAGACACATTAGATTACCTTCCTTCTCTCTAAGCATCTCTCCTCCTGCCGCCTCCATGTCTGTCACTAGAACCACCATCCCATCAGTTACTCAAGCTTGAAGCCCTAGAGACATCCTTTACACCTTCTCCCTCACTTTCCATAGATGCCAAGTCCTGAGGCTCTTCCTGCACCACATCATTTGAATTTGCTCACTTTTTCTCCATCACAAGCTTGCTTCAAGCATGCTCTGACTATTGCAATAATTTCTTAACCAACCTCTCTTCCTCATTCTCCCTTCCCCCCCTTTCAATTCATTGTTGACACTACACTATATTACTTCCTTAATTTTGCTCTGGTCTTATCATTCCTAAGCTCAGAAACTTTCAACGGCTCCCCAGTGCCTAAAGAATAACATTCCAACTCTTCAGCCTGGCGTGCAAGGCTCTCTATCTGGCCCCAGCCAGCTTTTTCAAACCTGTCACCCTCTGCCCCTTATATGCACCTACACAGCACTCCACTGGATTCATCAACATCCTTTCACCTTTACATTTTACCGGCTCGGTGACTCCTCTGAGATTCCTGTGGGATGCCCCTCCTCCAGTTCCCAATGCATTAGAATTCTACCTCGTCCTCAAGGCCCAACTCTAATGCCACATCTCCAAGGAAGATAGCCCAGGATCCCCCAGCCAGGAGTCATTTCCCCCTCCTCAATATTCTCTGCCTGCCCCTCAAACACTCACACGCCATGCCCTGTAGTGTCAGGGCACACGTCTATCTGTTCTCCAAGACAGAGAGTCCCTGGAGAGCAGGAAGTGTGTGTAACTCTCTTGTACTGCTTACACTCAATGTTGGGTCACATACGTCACCGGTGACCCACAGTCGTTAGTTAAATGGATGAACGTGTTGGTGAGTAAAACCCTCTATTAGAAGCAGTATGAACATCTTTGTCAGGCAGAAAACCACAAGAAGCCCCAGGAAGAATGCACACAAGCAAATATGTGGGAATAACATGGCGAGATTCTCTTCTCTCTGCCCCACCCTCCACTAGGAGAAAGTTTTCCTTCAGTTTCTCATTTAAGCTAACTCCAATTTTACTTCCTTTTTATATTTAAGGCATTTTTATAGAAAGCATTAAATTTCCTTCTACCATGCTTAAAAAAAAAAAAAAAACTATTGCAACAACTTGGTCCTAATTTTGTTCTTCAACTCAAAAACGGCCAATAAGAAAACGGAGAGGGTCATATCTAGAGCCTCCTTCTGGAGAGCTTAGCTCCTCCCCAGACTGCAGGCTCCACGTTCGAAGGCACCATGTCTGTTTTGTTCATTGCTGTATTCGTACAGCTTTGTATGGTGCCTGCTACACTGCAGCCACTCAAAAAAAAAGTTGGTTGAGCAGGGGCCGCCCGGTGGCGCAAGCGGTTGTGTGTGCGCGCTCCGCTTCGGCGGCCCAGTGTTGACAGGTTCGGATCCCAGGCGCGCACAGACAACTGCTTGGTAAGCCATGCTGTGGCGGTGTCCCATATAAAGTAGAGGAAGATGGGCAGGGATGTTAGCTCAGGGCCACACTTCCTCAAGAAAAAAGGGGAGGATTGCCATCGGATGTTAGCTCAGGGCTAGTCCTCCTCACAAAAAAAAAAAAAGTTGGTTGAGCAAACAAATGAATAAGTCAACCAATGAATAAAAACCACAATCTGCTGACCCAGTCTGCCCCACCTTGCCAAGAGGAGTCCCTCACTCCGTAGTCACATGTCTTCAGTGACCTTGGACCCTGGGAACCCAGGCACCCCTCCTAGCCCACCTCTCTGCTGTCCCCATGCAATACCAGGGACATTTGGGGATCTGTGTCTGTCGGAGGGTGGCCTCTTCAGGATCAGGGCAGATCAGCTACTTTTATGGCTTGAAATATGGCTTGTTGCTGCCAAGCCCTGTAGCCAGGGGTCCTGGGCTCAGATTATCCCAGGAGGGAATTGAGAGTCAGAGTTCTGTGCATTGACAGTTTGTAAACAACATCGCATATATTATCCCTTTCCGTCCTTACAACAAGCCTATGTGGGACTTTGTATTATCCCCACTTTCCAGGTGGGTCTCAGAAAACTAACCCATGTGCCCAAGATCACAGATCTAAGTGGTCAGGCTGGCGCCAGAACCCAGGTCCGGCTGCCTGCAGAGTCAGGACTCTTCCCACCCAGGATGTGACCCTGGCCATTTATATACCTCTTGAGGGCACACACAAGCCTCAGAATTGAGGGGGTTAATACCTACCCTTCTACACAGAGGTTTAGTCTCTTATGGGTTTCACCTGCCCCTTCCATCAACCACTCACATACACACTCACTCCCCCACCACTTGGAACCCAAAGGAGCCGCCGCCCCTCCTGGCCCAGCCCCTTAAACTGCGCGGGGGTGGGGCGAGGGGGTGGTTCCTACGAGCGCAGCTTTGGGCACCTGGTTCGCAGGTGGCAGTCCCGTTTCGCTGTCGAAGAATTGAAGCGGTAAGCGCTCTCGGAGTGGAGAAGTGGCTCTCGGCTGGCCCAGCCTGCCAGGGCTCCCAGCGGCCGCAGGGGCGTGGCTGCCGGCTGGCCCTCCAGCCCCCCAACTCCTGTCCCACCTCCAGCTCCTGCTAACACCGCCCCTGCAGGGCCCCGGGAAGACTCGATAAATGAAATCACCAGCGACCCCTTGTGGGCGTGATGAGGTGTTGCAAGCGGTTATGAATTCAGGTGCACACCAAGCCTTGTGCAACTGACTGAACACACAGTATCGTCTCCTACACGGATCTTCTATGATTTTTTTCAAATATATATATATGTTTCTGTTGGGATTAATAAATTACAAACTCATTTAAAAGCTCATTTCTTAGTGAATTTTCTCTATGAAAATGAAACATACAACTACTCTAACAAGCAGGAGGCTCAAACCATTTTATTTAACCTAAACAGAGGTCTCCGTACTGAAAAGGTGTAGTGTGAATGGAAACACTGTAATGTGCTGTGCTCCAGTGAGGGCTGCTCATTACTCTGCCTGGTTTACTCACTTACTGGTCAATGCCCAGGCCATGACTACGGGCAGGGTGTCTGGTCACTGCCAGGTCCCCATTGAGAGGCACAGGCCACTCCTGAGGCCTCACAACCTACTACTCCTACAGCCAGGTTAAGAAATAAATCACACTGTGAATGTCCACCGACGGAGGACCACTACAGGCTGAGCAGGTTTGGGATGGGTTTCATTTATGCAGCCTCAGCGTCTTGATGCCTCAGTTTTTTTATTTGTAAAAACTGAGCTAATAATACCTCTGCTGGTTGACCAGAATAAGGCAAAAAGTATGATTTTTTAATAGATGATAAAATACTGTACACAATGACCATGCAGGCTATGGTCATTGATAGTCTCAGTATATACACTTGACACCTTCTGGGAGAAGGAGAAGCCTAAAGACATTTCCCTCCATACTCTAAGTGACTTGCCAATGTCACACAATTAGCAGGAGTAGAGCTAGACAGGGGTGGTGGTGTCTGTCTCCTCCCACAGTATTACCACCACTATATCCTTCTGTCTTTAGCTCAGCACAGCACAGCCTAACACACGTGGCTGGTGGCAAACACCCTTATCGTCAAAGGATTCGTGCCTCCTACAGAACTTTTGCATCTACAGAGCTAACATGCTTTATTCTTTCTACGAGGAGCAAGATGTTATGGAAGCAACCATGACAGACTCCCACCACTCCTTGAGTCATGGAAATCGGCGTGGAAGTCACTCTGTCTTAAGAAAGAAAAGAGTAATTCCATCTTCATATTCCGCTAGCACACAGGCCTCGTGCCTCTGGCCGGCAGATGTTCAGCAGTGCCAGACATTTCTTTTTCTCTCATTGCTTTGCCACCCTTCGCTCTGCCTGTGGGTGACAGACATCAGTAGGTAAGGCCATCAGAGAGGTCTCCCTGCTGAGAACCCACATTCCGAAAGCAATACAGCCCTCGGGCACCGGGAGGATACAAGATGGAAAGCCATGCAGCTCCCAGCAGCCTGCCGGAGAGCGGAGAGGGTGTTCGTGACACCAGTTAGTTTGCTTCACTTCCCATGATTTATGTCACGTGGCCAGGCTTTTCTCTTCTCGATTTATGGCCACCTGTCCTGGGGAGAACATAAATTACGACATCTATGGCAATTTAAATCTCAGGAAGAGATAGGAGAAGACACCTAGGCTGGCTGCTCCATCTCCTGGGGTATTAGAAGCAATTACGGTGGGATTGTCGGGCTGCAGAAAGCCTGCAGAAGATCAGGATTGCTGTGCAGCTCCCCGTGACCCCTGCCTGCCTGCCCTCACTCTGTGTTTGGGGTCAATTATCCTCCTTCTGTAAACACAGGCTCCCAATGGAGGGAGGGCACCCAAGATTCAGAAGATTCAGAGGATCGGCCTAAACACATGGAAAGCTTTCAGAAGGCTACTTCTGCAAGCACAGAACTTTCTGAATCCAGAGGGAAAGGTACCAGGCACCAAGCAATGTGTTGTGGGGAGAGAGAGAACAAGATGTATAAGAAAGGATGAACATCCATTCCCAAAATCACTTGGCCGGTTTGCAAATAGAATCTTCAAGATCTGAGCCAGCCCTGATGGCCCCGTAGTTAAAGTTTGGCACACTCCACTTCAGCAGCCTAAGTTCGGTTCCTGGGTGCGGAACCAAACCACTCGTCTATCAGTAGCCATGCTGTGGCAGTGGCTCACATAGAAGAACTATAAGAACTTACAACTAGAATATACAACTACGTACTTGGGTTTGGGGAATGGAAAAAATTATTTAAAAAAAAAAGAATCATCAGGATCTGCCGTGTCCCGGCTTATTTCATAGGGAACACCCACAGCCTGAGCGAGAGGGGACCTATTGATCACAAGTCATGTGGTAGCTCCTCTGGGGCCACAGGAAAGTAGATTGAGATGGAATTCTGGTTTGTTCTGATGGAGAGTGAGTGAGCGCATTTTGAGGACTAGCTATAGTCTATCATTGCTGCGTCTTGAAACTCTGCTCCCCGCACAAGCATTCCACCACACGCGGGAACTCTTCCCTCAACACTTTATGATGACAACTCTCAAACAGACAAACAAGTTACAAGAATGTCACAACGAACACCCATTGACCAATCAATCACTTGGACTCTACACACGACTTTTTAGTATATTTCCTTTATCACGAATATATCTACCCATCCACCCATCGTCATTTTTTCGCATTTCCAAGTAAGTTGCAGACACCAGTAAACTTCACACCTAAACAGTTCAGCTGGCATGTCATTTCCTAGGGTTAAAATGTTCTTTACTTTTTTGGGGGGAGTAAAATTTACATGGAGTGAAATGTACAGATCCTAAGTGTTCCATCGTATTGACTTTTTACGGAAAAGTTAATTAATGTTGTTTTGAGTGTTGAGAAATACACAACATCCCTAAAAATGATGGGATTTGCCTTCAGCTGGTCTGTAGCCCTCTCTTTGAATGTTCCTGCAAATCCAGACCCAGTGCGGGGAACCAGATGGAAAGCGGCCTTCTGCTCTTCACCTCAGGAATTCCTCTCCTTAACCCCCCTCCACCTACCTTGTTCGACTTCACTCCTGACTCCCTCTCTCTGCCTTGTGGCCTGGCCTCTTGCACACCAGCTGTCTGCCTTGCTGTAGCCTGGCCCTCATGCAGGACACTGGTCTCCATGGACTACAGTGCTGGCCACAGAGGCCAGGCTCATTACGCCTAGGGGTAATGTGCGGGCTGGAACGACAGCACTCACCCCAGGGCTTCAGCTTGCCCAGCGAGGGGGCCAGATAGTAGCTTCTGGAACAACAGGATCGGCAGAGAGGGATTGGTGCTCATCAAAGAAAACTAAATTGTTGGCCCAAATAAGGGCCACAAACTTGGTGAGAGATGCAAGGAAGGGGAGGCAGCAGGACTCACATTGCTGGGGGCGAGTCTGGTCGCACAAACCCAAGCGTAACCCCCCTGTAATGTGCCCTTTCATGATGGTTTTGACGCCAGGTGGCCACACTTCAACGGCACTCCTTCCCCCAGTCTTCCAGGGCTTTGCCCAAAGCAGTTGTCACAACCTCCCTGCCTCGTCCCACCCCCTCTACAAGTGACACCTGGGAACACAAGTCAGGGTCAAGGCCGAGGGTCTCAGGGGCTGCAGTGATGAGACCTGACACCCCACCTGTGACCTTGCCTTCAAAGTGGGAGGGACTAATGAAGATGAGCATCATTAGTTCACTGTCAGAGTTTCAGCAATATCCCAGCCAAGATTTGGCAGATACCAGCACTGAAGTGCACGAGTCCCGAACTGTTGTTTTAGCAAAAGTAAGGCAGGTTGATTATAGCACATTTAGAGACTACATATAAGAATATATCTATTTTTCCCCATAATTCCATTACCAAAAGGCACTGGTAATTCCATTAACATTTTGGCTTAAAGCCTTCCAGCCTTTTATCTACTCATGTGCATTTATATTTTTTAAAAAGTAAAATGGTAAATTTTTTTATTATGAAAATTTTTAAGTCAACATAAAGTAGAAAGAATAGTGCAATGAATTCCCACATATTGTCACCCAGATTCTATTTATCAAGATTTTGACAAATTTTTGCACGTGTGTTTTTTTTTTTTTGCTAAAATAATGTACAGCACCTCCCAGACATGGTGTCACTTCACTCCTATATACTTCAACGTGCTTCTCCAAAATATACGGACATTTCTTATATCACCACAATGCCATTATCATACCTAATAAATTTTTGGTATCATCTAATACTCAGTCCATAATAAAGTTTGCCAAAATATCTAAACGATGTTTTTTTAAAAAATTGGTTTGTTCGAATCATGAATTTTAAATGAAAAATAAAGTTATTTGTGCAAGCAGGTTTTCTGGGGACCAAAACACCCAGCAATGTTTCCCACATTACCCAGTCACTAGGAGCCCCTTCAGCTTCAAGACCGTATGTGCGTGGAGTTTTCACTGCTTTCTCTTGAAGATATTAAGCTGCCTAGTCCTACCTCTTCAGGGTCTCCAGTGGCTCCTTCCTGTCCATGATGCCGGTGTCCGGGTCCACGGTGGTTAAAATGCACCTGGACACACACACAGAGCATCATTCAAGGGACAAAGCTGAGTGACCTTGGCCGTCCTCCCCCTCCCCCACAGGTGTGGAGGAGCCTTACCTGGAACAAGCCATCACCCTTTTCAGTTCCACGTCACCAATAAGAAGCTCATTCCATGAATCCTAGGGGATAAAAGCACAAAATTCACATGAGCACTTCTGAGCCTCAGCCCTGACACATCTGTGTAGGGACTTCACATGAGTTGACACCTAATGAAGCCACTTACATCAAAGATGGCCAACTTGTACATCCGTCCTGAGAAGCCACACACCTTCCTCGTCCCTCTCTGCCTTTGATATATCAGTCCATTCCCCCAAAATGAAATGCTCCCTCTCCTCTACATGTAAAACCGGGACTGAAACTCATCTCCTACAGGAAGCCTCCCTGACTGATCCCACTTGACTCAAGGCGGGGGCAGGGGGGGGGGTAGGGGGGCATGAGGATAGAGGGGACGGAGGGAGTAGGTGAAAGAGAGGAGGGGTATGGAGAGGGGGGATTACTCTAGGTTGTATCAGATCCCCTCGTGCAAGCCTAAAGTGGATTAAGATCCTTAAGTCATTGCGCATGTGTATCTTGTATCTACCCTGGCCAGATATGCACAAATTAAGAGCAGGCCCAAAAGCCTTGTTTCTCTTTGCATCTCCACTGGTGCTTTTACAAAGCACTCCAGCCCAGGAAGCTCCTTGGGCCTTTGCCTATGGCCTGGGTCACTGGTGCCTACCTTTTAAGACAAATCAAATCAATGCACTGCAGCCCTTCAAACCCAGCAGGGGAGATATGACATACATATATGAAATGTTCATGATCAGTATTCTTTTAAAAAGGCCCAGAAATTTTGAGAAAAAGCCTAATGAGGCAGCACACTGTGTCGGTACAATTGTGCAGACAAGAATTATTCTGGCCCTTTAGAGAACAAATCTTCAGGCTGCTCTGGTCGGGGGAGGTTTATGGAACAGCTGGGATCTGAACTGAGTCTTACAGGATGGAGATTCCGAGAGGCACAAATGAAGGGTCAGGGGACTCCATGCAGAGGGGGCTATCATTAGAAGGAAGGACACTGAGGAGACCAAGGACATCCCATTGTCGTCCTGACCTTCTTACCCTCAAGAGAGAAGAGCTGGCTGGCTGAGGACTAGAGACAAAAATCCATGAGTTAAAACAAACCTGCCCAGTCCTTTGTTGATCACAAGCCAGAAGCAGACTTGCAGACTCAGACATTGAGTTCTGATAGTGTGTATTGTTCTTGATATTTGTTTTGCATATACATATTTTTTTAATCATAAAACGGGTCTCAACCGCATGTTTCGCAACAGTAAAGCTGGACACATGGGATTACCGCAGCCCCAGCCCATTCTGTGTACATTTCTCCACTAGGCGGCACTGTCGTCGAAAAAAACATAAAAGAACCACAAGGAGAGAAATGAGAGTTCCAGTTAGGAAATTAATTTATTATTAATTTAAAAAATATTTCCAGAGCCCCTTTTATGTGCAATAAAAACTGTTGGAGATTGAGTCACAGATAAAAAGAGGTAAAAATTCCACCGTAAGGAAAGTATCCTTATTTGGCAGGGGAGGAAAAGGAGAAACTACTATGTTGAATACACGCTGTGAGCCAGAACTGTGTTGAATCCTGGAGAAGAGTCCTTGAAAGTCTTCCTACCAGAACACACTACCTGGTGATGATACGAAATTTAAACAGCACAAGCCGGATATGGGAGAGGCACAGACACAGCAGTGGGTGGCTTTAGAGAAGGGAGGCGGCTCTTCTGGGTCTGGCCATCAGCAGACTTCATAGGGGAGGTGGCTGTTCATCTGGGCTTTTAAAGAAGACCGGGGGTTTCTAAATGGGACAAGGGGCAAGATTTGAGGCGACCAGGAAACAGGAGAATATATATTAGGTTCTCAGTCCAGTTTGCAGTTCAGAGCTTTTATTGGAAATAAAGGCTGGGAACACAAATTGTGGAGAGATTTGAATGATGGAGTGGGGACTTCAGACCTTTTAAGAAATGGGGAGCCACAGAAGACTTTTGAGCAAGGCACTAACATTGACTATTTGTCACAACTTTTTAGAGTACAAGAGTTCACACTGGTGCTCTGGGAGGCGTGGCTGTGGTAACAGGGACCATTCGGTGGTCCAGACTTGAGGTTATGAAGGTGCGATCTAGTTGCTGTGCAAAAACAGAAAGGGAGCAGATGTGGTTGGGGCTGAAAGGAACATGAGAGAGGGAGGAGCCAGGGGTGACTTAGAAGCTCCAAGCCAGGGTGAAAGAAAGAATGTGGTGTCTGTGACAGCGCCAATTGTGGAGTGGAGAACAGGAGTTTGCGGAGGTGATGGGGCTATGGGGTGGGGAGCATGTGAGTCTGATATGTCAACATATGAAAATACCCCACAGAGAGTTGCGAATGTGGGCTCAGCACTCCAGAGGGAGTCCACGGTTGGACATTTGGGAAGGATCTACATAAGGGTGATGGACGGTGAAGCTGCAAGAGAGGGTGTGATCACCAAGGGGAGAAAGAGAGAGAGGAGGGTCAAGGCTAGAGATTTTGGAAGCCCCTATCTAAGTGAGGAGGAGAAGGATAAACAGCAAAGGAGCAAGGGAGGGCAGTCAAGGGCAGTGCAGCCAGGGAGAGAAAAGTTCCCAGAAGTAGTACCCGTAGTCGAAACGGCAGGGTGACGACAACCAGCAGAAGGTCACTGAATGTGACGGGGGTGGGGGGAAGGGTGGCATAGGTTTCCCCGCTGGGGCACTGGGCAGAATGGCAGGCTTAGGAAGTGAGGGTCAGGCATGCGAATGACGGGAGTGAAGGGAAGCAGAGAAGGACCACCATTACTGAGAGGCAGATTCTGAGATGATGACTGGGTTCACTTTCCAGAAGCCTCCGTGCAGATCCTTAGCTTCCCTCCTGGCTGTGACAGCCTGCTCTCCCCAGCTGCACCGGCACCACCTCTCCTAATCCTTCTCTAGACCCCGCCACAGGAAGACTTGTGCGATGCAAATCGGTTTCTGTCACTCTCTTGCCTAAAATCCTTCCCAGACCCCCCAAAACCTGACACCAAAGACCTTTGCTGTCAGCCCCACTCCTCTCATGAACACCAGTCCTGCAAGACAGCAGTTCTCCGGTGCCTCCATAGTGCCACACGTGTTCCTTCTCCCTCGATGCCACCTCCTTCTTCTCCACCAGGCTAATCTCAACTCATTCATTCAATTAACAAAGAATTAGTGGGTGCTTACTATGTGCCGGGCTCTATTCCAGGATCTGGGGGTACAGCAGTGGTCAAGTCCTGTCCTCAAGGAACGTGTATAGGAGAAATGGACAATAAACAAATACTCGACTAAACACGGCATGTCAGGTGGTGACATATGCTGGAGGGGACTAGGGTTTGCAGGCAAAGCCAGGTACTGGGAGGTTAGAGAAGGCCTCACCAAAGGGGAGGAAAAGGCCTCAGCAGGTAAGTGAAAGAGACAAGGGAGTGAGCCATGCAGATATGTGAGGGAAAGTATGCCAGGCAGAGGCACCAGCAAGTGCAAAGCTCCTGGGGTGAGGAGACAGCGTGGCTGGAGGAGAGTGAGAGAGAAGGGGAGAGAGATAGGAAATGGACCCCTGGGTTTAGCAGGGAATGCGGCCTTGACAGTCATCATAAGGATCCCACTTTTTACTTACAGAGAGTTGGAGAACTCTGAGAGGGTTTTGAGTAGAAAAATTACATGATGTGAGTTAAATTTACCGGATTACTTTGACCGATGTGCTAAGAATAGACCATGTGTGATGGTGGGGGTCTGTCAAAGGCAGAAGCAAGGAGACCAGTGAAGAGAGGCTGTCACAAGAAACCATGAGAGAGGGTGGGGACGGCCCAGGGAGAGAGTGGAGGACAATGGGAAGAGGACACAGCCACCGAGATTTCTCCATTGTTTGAATATGGGAAGTGAGAGAAAGAGAAGAACAAGGGTGGTTCCCAGTTTGGGGCCTTAGCAACCGGAAGTCAGAGCTGCCATCTGCTGAGATGGGCAAGCCTGGGTAGAGCAGGCTTGGGAGGGGAAATTTAGCCCTCAATTTTGGACATGCTGAAGCTGAGATCAGACATCCAAGTGGAAACACGGAGAAGGCAGTGGGAGAGTTCTGCTGTTAGGATATTGGCTAGGGAGTCCTCAGCGTAGAGAAGGTTTTGAAAAACGTAGACTAGAACCATGAGTAGAGATAGAGATTGCTACAGACTGAATGTTCATGTCCTCCCAAAATTCATATGTTGAAACCTAATCCTCAGTGTGACGATGTTTGGAGGTGGGGCCTTTGGGAGGTGATCAGCTCGTGAGAGTGGAGCCTCCATGATGGGATTAGTGATCTTATAACAGAGGCCCCAGAGAGCTTCCTCACCCCTTCTGCCACGTGAGGACACAGCAAGTCATCTATAAATCAGGCAGCAGGCTCTGACCAGACACCGAATCTGCTGGCGCTTTGATCTCCGGCGTCCCTGCCTCCAGAACTGTGAGAAATAAATTTCTATTGTTTATAAGCCCTGAGGTGCTCAGACCTCGAGTGCACATCTCACTGTCCTGTGGTCCCATCTCCCACCTCTGTTAATAACGTCCCCGTGGGTGGTCACCTAATACACCGAGCTCACCACCTTCCCAGCCGGTCTCATGGGGCTGTAACTGCCCGTTCACAATCTGATGACCCTGGACCCTGGACTTCCTTAGGAGAAGCACCTGTGTCTCATTTTCCTACTTGTCTCTTCACAGTGCGTGGGACCCAGGGGCACTCACCCACTGCGTGATGAGTGAAATATTGTTACAAAAAATGAGACCCACTCAGCCACAGTGTTGTATTAACATCCAACTTAAAATACAAAATGTTCCCAATTAGGAACCACTCGGAGTTAGAGAGAGAGAGAGAGAGAGCCTTCTAGTACAAGATTCAGTTCAAAATGTCCTGTCTCCTACAGGGGAGGTCCTACTCTGAGCCATCTCCTCTCATCTCATCTTACCATCTCAGAACTTTCGGGGAGCAATGTCTTCAACATGACCCGTGACACGAATATCACACGAGTGGGGGAGCTTAAAGGGGGCCACGGTCAGGGGGAAAGCTATTGTCTGAGCCAAGTTCCTTTATTCTGATCACACGAACGAAACCATTGCCCACCTCTCCATGGCACTTTCTATGTCTTAGAGCTTTTCCACAAATTGTTATCGACCTTGATTCTCACGTTTCAACTGGGGAAGGGCCTGTTGAAATTATCCACTTTACAACTGCAAGAAGCAGAGGCCTCAAGGGGTTCAAGACTTGTCCAGGGTCATACAGCCACTTATTGAAGCAGGTGGATTCGAATCCGGGTGTACTGACCTCATGCACGACCCCCCAGAATGCTCAGAGTTCCTTTGGCCTGTGGTATAGTCTGGGTTTGAGACCCGGCTCCCCCATTTCCTGCTGTGGTGTAGGCTTGGGCAAGCCATTTCACCTCCCGAGGCCTCCCCCTTCTTCCTTGTAAAACAGGTATGATAACTTTCATCTCCCAGGGCTGCTGTGAGGAATAAAAGAGATAGCGTATGCGAAGCACAATGCGAGCACTAAATAGAAATCCTCTCCCTCACTTCTCTTTTGCTAGAAGGAAAATCCTCAGGAGAAATGGCTTTCCTGGCCACAGCTGGAGTGAGATGAATATCAATGAGATAGTCCGAGGCAACCAACACTGATCTTCCCCTCTAGTCTAAGTCAGGCTGACTCATGGTGGACACGAGCAAGTACAGACAGCTCCCTTGTCACACTGAACACGGAGGGACAGCCCGCCCAGGCTCTTGAGGGATAATGCACACAGTCCACCCACTTCACACAAGGAGCTGGCTTGCCATCTTGAGACGAAATGATATGCTTGGAGGGTTGGGACTGAGCACAGAGTATTTCATATAAAACGTCGAGGGGATTTGGCGGTACTTTTATTACCTTCCATTGGTTGACACTGAATTTGTACTTTTCATCAGTTACCTTACCCAAATTGATCCTTTAACAAACCTCTAAGGTAATACTAGGCAGCAACGATGGCCCCATTTTCCAGGCAGGTAAGCAAGACTTAGAGGGACTACACAGAGTCATGCAGGGGTCAGGGAGGAAGCTGAAGGCAGGCCTCAGAGCCTCTGGTTTGAATGTGGGAATCAAATTCCTAGAATGCTTCTCTTTCAGCACAGCTTGCTGCCTCCTCACAGCAAAACTGAAAGAATTTGTCCCCCTGAGTATAAGGGATTAGAACTCGGTCACCCAGACTCAATTCCTCCAGTTGCAAAAGGAGTGGGCAGAGGTGAGGATCACTCTCCTGTGTCCTTTACCTCTCCCTTCCCATCTACAAACATGGCGTAACCAGGACTCGTGAACTCCCATCTGAGGGCTAGCGCCTCAGTCAAGCATCCACAGCTGGGTGGTCGCTACTCACCAAGCCTCTAGGCCACCAACCTCTGCCCTCATGGTAGATGAGGCGAGAATCAAATTAGACCTCCAAAGACAATTATGAGGGTAAACCTACTGCCAGCTCCCATGGCACGTTGGGAACCCTTCGTGCTAAGTCATAGTGCAGACAGCCGGGGGTGGACTGAAGGTGGTGCTGGAAGAGTTGTAGGACAGCGCCCTCTCACCTTGGGGAAAAGGCCCCACCAACCCTCACCTCCCAGCAGCCATGCTGCAAATGCCTGCCCTCCCCAATGGAGCCATAGACTAAACAGGAAAGTCATCTTCAACAAGACATGAGCACGCTCTGTCTTCGTTCCATGGCCCACACAGACTGTGTATTCTATGCCAAGCAAATTTGGCTCAAAAACTAATCTGCCTGCTTGGACTTCTCCTTAGAAGCCTCAGACCCTAAACTGCTCCTCGACACCAGCGTCTCTGCCTCATCTCTATTTGTATCCTCCACAGAGAAGTCTGCACTGACCGGGTACTCAAGAAATCCAAACATTGAATTGTTGGGTAATGTAGGTCCAATAAATAATGCATTCTTTGGAATAAACTAATCCAATGTCGAAGACTCTCATACCTTAAAACAAAAAGTTAAATCCCCAAGGTAAAGAGCAAGGAAGGCACAGTGTTACCTCTGCAAAGACACCACACCCTGAAATTACGATATTGGGCCTGAAGTTAGTGGCTTTAACTTTCTTCTCTAGCCTGGAGTTGAGATCCGCCAACGATGCTTCAGAAAGGATCAAGAACGGGCTGGCATCTGGATAAGCAATCTGGTAAGGAAATAGAAATTGTTATAATGTGGCACACAAAGGAATTTCTCAGAGGCCACGTGTGTCTAGTTCCTGGAACCCCCTCCGCTCCCTCCCCCTCACCACACACACACACACACACACACACACACACACCCACAGAGTCCTTCTAAGTACAGTCATGCACTGCATAACGACATTCAGTCAATGATGGACCGCATATACATCAGTGGGTCCATAAGATTAGTACCATATAGCCTAGATATGCAGTAAGCTATACCATCTAGGTTTACGTAGTACACTCCATGATGTTTGCACAATGATGAAACTGCCTAATGACACATTTCTCAGGACTATCCCCATTGTTAAGACGCGTGACCGTATTTCTTTAGTTCTTTGTATAGAAAAGTCGCAGTGATTCAGAAGACTCAAACAGTCTTGCAGATAACAGGAATTACATGATGGAGTGAAGAGAATGTGGCCTTGGGATCCTAGAGCCACTGGGCAAGAGCCCTTGGGGAAGTCACTTCACCTTTCTAGGCATCCAATTTCTCAAATGGTTAGCAAGGTGGCTGGATTTGATGACCTCATTATGTGTGATAAAAAATATTCACCGATTCTGTGGATATTGATTTTTTATGCAACCTGCAAATCAATGTTAAGTATTTATGTTGACCATAATTTTTTTTTTAAATGGCCATAGTAATTGTGCTACATAGCCTTGTGCTACCAACCCTACTTTTATGATGAATCCTCACAGCCTAGTTCCCTGAAGGGCCAGTCTGGTCATTTTAGGTCTGTGGATCTCCACACACACAGTCATTTGCTCAACTGTGATCTGACACACAATTGCAATCGCACTGTAAAAAGGTTGGACTCCACATGCAATTACAGAATGGAGTGGAAAAGATACTGGTATAAAACAGTATGGAAACCCTATTGGCACCAAACATAGGAAGGTAGACGCTCACGGGCAAAAATGCAAGAGTCCCCCAAATCAAGAAACACAGATGATGCTCCCAAGGGAGGGGCTTTATTTTTGCCTATTGCTTGTCCAGGCTGAGCCGCCTGGGGGCCGTCTGGCAAAATGACAAAGCTGAGCAGCAGACATGCCACCCTGCCTGCTGGGCTATAGACAACTGCTCCGCATCCCTGAGGAAGGCTGCCTTCCACAGGGCACACCAAAGCCAAGGGATGCTCCTCTGACCTGGTCTGTGGGCCGGAACACGTCCTTTACTTGGTGAGAATTTCTCGGTCGCATGTGAGGCTCAAAGTGCACCAGGCGGAAGGGCTGTGTCTTCAGGAATCTGGTTATCCACTGGGCCGCAGCCTCGCCACAGTCCCTGCCCTCAATCTCCAGGCTGTGCACTCTGCAGGCAGTGGCAGGAGCAAAGAATGGACATAGCTTTGAAAATCTGGGTACCCTACCATGAGCTACACATATCAGAAGAGCTGCACCAAGCTGTGATGTCACTGTAATTCCTTAGTTATCAGGAGAACTTTAGCCTGGCCCTGCCTCTTAACCACTAAACCTAAATGAAGGCACATTTCAAGCCTTGCTTTCTCCAGTTTTAAAACAGAATGATGCATAGCTGTGCCTCTCTACCTGGAAGGAATGCAGAGAGGACACAATAAGATAATATGTTTGAAAAGATACTGAGTTCTCCAGAAGAAAACTGATGTATCAGTACACTTATAATTACTGCAAAATCTGGTTTACCCACCTGGATAGCAACCAGAAATCTTTACTAATAGGCCTGGTTATACTTTATTAGTATGATAATAAAACTGGATACAGCAATGTATGTGAAAATGTTCTACAAAATCTAAAATGTTATAGATAACAACAATCTAATTTGATTTGACTGCTAGTAATAACTCTGTAGGATTTGAAGTCCCCCCTCCCTGACACACAGTGTAGGTCCTTCCCAAGAGTAGGACCATTACCACTGTGGGAATTCAAGACAACTGTAGGGGGTGCCTGGGTACCACCTGAGATAATGTGATTGCACAGAGAGAGAATGATTCTCTTCAGTTTAGTGATAGTAAATCTTTAACTTCTAGCAACACATGAGAATAACCCCCTTTAAAAATGAAAGAACCAACCTCAGGTCCAGACACCTCTGTAGGCAATAGCTTCTAGTTAGAATTAGGTAGCATTTTCTCTGTAGCACATTTATCATTTCAGCTACCTTCTACATCTGCAAATTGCACAGGTACCCATATAAGGCTTCCTTCTTTTTTTTTTTGTGAGGAAGATCAGCCCTGAGCTAACATCCATGCCAATCCTCCTCTTTTTGCTGAGGAAGACTGGCCCTGCGCTAACATCTGTGCCTATCTTCCTCCACTTTATATGGGACACCGCCACAGCATGGCCTGACAAGTGGTGCATCGGTGCACGCCCAGGATCCGAACCCGGGCCACCAGCAGCAGAGCGTGCACACTTAACCGATACACCACAGGGCCGGCCCCTAAGTCTTCCTTTTTAAATAAATATGTTTAAGGTTTCTTAAAAAGCTGAATCCATTTAAAGAAAAACCTTAAGTAAATAAGAGTAGAGGTGGTTTTCGATTTGGCATAAATCACAGTTGCGTTATGCAAACGCCTGAAGTTTGGGACAGGGGAGGAGTCAGTAGACCTACTGGGTGTGCATCCTGTTTCCACAAATGATGAGCTCAGTGACTCTGGGGATGTTTCTGATCTTGGGCCTTAGTTGCTTCATCTATAAAGTGGGGATAAAATCACAACCTTCTTGTGAGGATTAGGGATAATCTATACGACGTCCCCAAACAATTCTTAGGTTTGGGATGCACTCAGTGATGGTAGTAATTACACTAGTTGTGTTTCCAGTTATTTCAAGTCATCTTTGTATAGTTACTCCATAAGTGAAGTATTTAATTAAATAAAAGCATCTATTCTCTAATAATAATATATAAATCTATTTATTATAAAATATATTAAAAATTGTATATTTTTTAAAAATATACTTGTATATATTTCTATAGAATTTTTCATAGCTTTATTGACATATAACATTGTATAAGTTTAAAATGTACAACGTATTATTGATTCAATTCATTTATATATTAAGAAACGATTACCTTGGGCCGGCCCGGTGGCTTAGCGGTTAAGTGCACACACTCTGCTACTGGCGACCCGGATTCGGATCCCGGGCGCACACCAACGCACCGCTTCTCCGGCCATGCTGAGGGCGCGTCCCACATACAGCAACTAGAAGGATGTGCAGCTATGACATACAACTATCTACTGGGGCTTTGGGACAGAAAAAAAGGAGGAGGATTGGCAATAGATGTTAGCTCAGAGCCGGTCTTCCTCAGCAAAAAGAGAAGGATTAGCACGGATGTTAGCTCAGGGCTGACCTCCCTCACAAAAAAAAAAAAGAAATGATTACCTCAGTAATGTTAGTTAGCACTTGTATCACTTTGCATAATTACCACTTCTTTTCTGTGGTGAGAACATTTAAGATCTACTCTCTTAGCAACTTTCAAGTATATAATACAGTATTGTTGTTAACTATAATCACCATGTTGTACATTAGATCCCCAGAACTTATTCATCTTTTAACTCGAGTTTATACCTTTGACCAACATCATCTCGTTTCCCCCACCCGCAGGTAATCACTATTCTACTCTCTGTTTCTCTGAGTTCAGCTTTTTCAGATAATATCACAAAGTATTTGTCTTTCTCTCTGACTTATTTCACTTAGTATAATGCCCTCAAGGTCCATCCATGCTATCAAAAAAGGTAGGATTTCCTTCTTTCTCATGGCTGAATATATTCCACTGAATATATACACCACATCTTCTTTATCCATCCTTGAGATGGACACTCCAATTGTTTCCATATCTTGGCTACTGTGAATAACGCTGCAATGAACATGGGAGCACAGATATCTCTTCGAGATTCTAATTTTGTTTCCTTTGAAAATATATACCCAGAAGTGAGATTGCTGGATCATATGGTAATTCTGTTTTTAATTTTTTGAGGAACCTCCATACTGTTTTCCATGGTGGCTACACCAATTTACATTCCCACCAACGGTGCACAAGGGTTCCCTTTTCTCCACATCCTTGTCAACAATTGCTAGCTCTTGTCTTTTTGATGATACCAACCTAACAGGTGTAAGGTGATATCTCCTCGTGGTTCTGATTTGTATTTCCCTGATGATTAATGATGTTGAATATCTTTTCATGTATCTGTTCACCATCTGCATGTCTTCTTCAGAAAAAATATCTATCTAGTTCCTCCACCTGCTTTTTAACTGGAATGCTTGGTTTTTTGCTATTGAGTTGTATGAGCTCCTTATATATTTTGGATATTAACCCCTTATCAGATAAATGGTTTGCAAATATTTTCTCCCATAGCACAGATTATCTTTTCATTTTGCTAATTATTGCTGCTCTTATCTTTGTTATTTCCTTCATTATGCTAACTTTGGGCTCACTTTGTTCTTCTTTTCCTAGTTCCTTGAGGTGTAAAGTTAGGCTATTTACTTGAGATCTTTCTTTTTCTTAATATAGGCATTTATCACTATAAACTTCTCTCTTAAAACTGCTTTTGCTGCATCTCATAGGTTTTGGTGTATTGTGTTTCCATTTTCATTCGTGTCAACATTTTTTTTTTATTTCCTTTTTGATTTCCTCTTTGACTCATTGGTTGTTCAGCAGCATGTTGTTCAATTGCTACACGTTTGTGAATTTTCCAGCTTTCCTCCTGTTTTGATTTCTAGTTTCATACAATTGTGGTTGGAAAAGATAGGTGGTGTGATTTCAATCTTCTTAAATTTGCTAAGACTTGTATTCTGACAGGATATGATCTAGTCCAGAGAATGTTCCTTGTGCAACTGAGAAGAATGTGTATTCTGTTGCTGTTGAATAGAATGCTCTATAAATGTCTGTTAGGTCTACTTGGTCTAAAGTCTGGTTTAAGTCCAATGTTTCCTTGTTGATTTTCTCTCTGAGTGATCTATCCATTGTTGACAGTGAGATACTGAAGTCCTCTACTATTGTCTATTCCTGTTAGTATTTGCTTAATATACTTAGGAGCGCCAATGTTAGGTGCATATATATTTATGATTGTTATATATCCTTGATGAATTTTCCCTTTTGTCATTATATAATGACCTTCTTTGTCTCTTGTTACAATTTTTGGCTGAAAGTCTATTTTGTCTGATATTAGTATAGCTACCCCTGCTCTCTTTTGATTTCCACTTGCATGGAATGTCTTTTTCCATTTCTTCACTTTTAGCCTATGTGTGTCCTTAAAGCTGAAGTGGGTCTCTTGTAGGCAGCATATAGTTGGGTCTTGTTTATCCAGCCAGCCAGTCTATGCCTTTTGCTTGGAGAATTTAATCTATTTACATTTAGAGTAATAATTGATAGGTAAGGACTTACCAATGTCATCTTATTATTTTCTGGCTGTTTTGTAGTTCCCTTGTTCCCTTCTTGCTCTCTTGCTGCCTTCCTTTGTGCACTGATGATTTTCCATAGTGGTATGCTTTGATTCCCTTCTCTTTATCTTTTGTATACCTACTGTGAGCTTTTGCTTTGTGGTTACCATAGGGCTTACATAAAATATTTTATAGATATAACAGTCTATTTTATGTTGATGACAACTTAACTTCAATCTCATACAAAAACTCTACCCTTTCATTCCCCCCCTTTTGTTTTTGATGTCACAATTTACCTGTTTTTGTATTGTGTATTCATTAAAAAATTATTGTAGCTATAGTTATTTTTAACACTCTTGTCTTTTAACCTTTATACTAGTTAGGTAATTGACATACCACCATATTAGAGTATTCTGAATTTGATTGTGTACTTTCCTTTACCAGTGTGGTGTATATTTTCATGAGTTTTCATTTTACTAATTAGCATCCCTTCACTTCAGCTTGACGAATTCCTTTCAACATTTCTTTAAGGAAGGTGGTGATGAACTCCCTCGGCTTTTGTAGGTCTGGGAAAGTCTTTCTCGTTCATTTCTAAAGGAGAATGTTGCTGGATGGAGTATTCTTGGTTGGCATTTTTTTCCTTCAGCACTTTAAACATATCATCCCACCCTCTCCGGGCCTGTAAGGTTTCTGCTGAGAAATTTGGTGATAGCCTTTGTGAGTTACAAGCTTCTTTTCTCTTGCAGCTTTTAAGATTCTCCCTTTTCCTTTGATTTTTGACAATTTTATTATAATGTGTCTTGGATAGGGTCTCTTTAAGTTGAGTCTGTTTGGTGACCTATGAGCTTCATGGACTTGGATGTGCAAATCTCTCCCCAGATCTGGGAAGTTCTCAGCCATTATTTCTTTAAATAAGTTTCTACTTCTCTTCTCCTTCTGGAACTCCAATAATTCACAAAT